GTAACAGTAAAATAATTTTAGTGCTCAACTCAGAATTTGACAAGAAAAATTGACCATGTTGGACATTCGCAAGCAATAGTCAACAATCGTCTGTAATCGTGTGCGCACCGGATGTTTCCCTACTTGCGAAAAACTTCACGCAAACAAAAGAAAGAATCTGTTGATTTTGTAAAGTATAATGCAAATATTTATCCTCTTAGCCTTTTACATCATAAGTAAGTTGTAAATAAATCATCACAGGAATCGCATTGATAAAAATTAATTTTTATACATAATTTATGTCAGCTATTTGTCAGATCCCCCTGTGGTAAAACTGCGATAACGTGATTAAAGATGTAAATCAAGTTGCATTTCAGGGTCTTCTGTACTGTGTCAAGCAACTTATTTTCGTATTCACGCACGTTAGAAAATTTCACTGTTAATAAAAAGAAATACAATGAAGCTTTCCTTTTCCTGATTCGTTAGGATAAAACACACTTGCTTTGTATTCTTATCTTGCTATTTATCACTAAAGCGATTGTTTCAGCACAGTCGTGATAATGTTAGAACAATAATGCACCGCCAGTCCTGTGAAAACATTTATAAGGTATGATATCAGTTAAGTTGCAAATCTTTTGTGGATTTTAAATTGTTGCTTAACATATTTTAGATAATTCAGAATATGCGATTGTTTAAAACTCTTAATTGTTTAAGTGCTTATCTCGTTTAATAAATATACTGGGAAGATCGATAATTCGAAGCTTCAGTTAACATAAACAGAATGCTTTTTTCAGACAGAATTCTTATTTAATGTAAACTGTTCTCTATAATTTGAATTTTTTAACCCGAGAAATATTAGCTAAATCTAGCATTTCCCCATTGATGTTGAAATTGTTTGATTTAAATTTCTTTCTCGATACATCGAATTGACGGAGTGAATCATGGGATAAACCGCAGGAGTGAATATTCTATTTAAATATAATTTGAAATTTCTTCGCTTTCTGAAACATTCAGGCCTAGTGATTAATGGTGCTAAATACTTTTGAAGAATCGCTGAATACCAACAATATGGTTTAGTCAACCAAACCAATTGTTAATAAAAGCGTGTTTGAATATTTTTGGATAAAAGTGCTTTGCGTAACAATCACAAAGTTTCACTTTCATTACTATTATGTAAGTATGTATCTCACCTGCAGTATATGTATATATATTAACTAGAAAGCCCGGCGGTCATACGAAATGACCGCTGTTATAGGTATTATAAATTGTACCATGATTGATGATTTGTGCAAAGGTATCTGCTAATTTAAACTGAATTACCCGAGGCAGGCGGCGAGGACGCCCCTTTACTTACTGCCCCACGGGGTTTCCCCCTTCTACTTGCTTAATTGCTTAAAGTAGAGTATAGTGAAGGAAACTACTGGCGGTACATTTCTTAAGAGCCACCGCTAGCTCAATCAATAAAGGTGATTTAAATAATGAAATCTTAATTCACATGTCAAAGATCTCTTTGTACACAACCTTTCTTGTGTAGATCTTTCCATCATTTTTAAGCTCGGCTTGCAGAGGACAATCCAATATTTTTAATTTTACGTCCGTTCTTTCACGAAATCTTGAACAGGCAACATAAAGTTGACCGTGTCCAAATGCAGGCTCAGGTAAAAAAAAAATGTCAACACGCTTAAGCGTTTGGCCCTGAGACATATTGATGGTCATAGCAAAGGCAAGTTTTACAGGAAATTGTCTACGTCTCAATTGAAACGGCAGCCCTGTGCCGTGGCAACTTCACCCCATTGGCTAGTACAGTTACGCAAGCAACCAGTAATCTATCGGCGACAAACAGACACTTAAAAGCCGCATATATATATAGAGAGTGAAGTAACATCCTCTCCTCCGAAACGGCTGGCTCCCGGGCTTAGCGAAGCACACCGCTGAATTCCGCAGGTCCGTGGCACGCCATTTTGACCATTCGCGTCTTCATGGGACTTTAATTAGCCGAGATATTAATTAAAAACTAATTTTCCCTTACGTTTTCCCTACATTTTCCACTCTTTCCTGGGTTTTCCCAATGAGAGGGATTTGGCTACGTGCCATTTTTTTTTTTTTTTTTTTTTTTTTTTTTTTTTTTTTTTTTTAAATATCTACGAGACAACGTCGAGTTGAAATTCAAGATGCAAATCCTTGGATTCCAAAAAATTCTCCGAATCCATCGATACCGTTCTCATCTTCTTTACGACTTTAATCGGTTGAGATATTAATTAAAAATTGCGGAAACGTTAAATTCCACGCTCATTTTTCTGAGTGGCAACAATAAACTATCAGCGACACACAATTTAGCCACTTATATATATATATAAAGATGATAGGTTAATCTTTAAATTTTAAGATAGGAAACAGCAAATGATTTATCGTAAACATTGTTTTTTAGGATTAAAAGAATAAAAGCAAATGATAAATATTTCAAAAATGTTTACAAATTTATGCTAAAAATTATATATTTATCAGTGAGATAAATTTACGATATAAATGTCTCTCTTTCTATATATATATCGTAAAACTAATCGCTCCTCAGAAAATCGGAAATGCAATATCCCCCTTTTTTTTTTCCGGTTTCTGCTGGAATCTTATTTGACACTACTACATGTTTGTTTCTGATCTTGTGTGGAAATATTAGTTTGAAGCTAACATATCTGCAAACTCAAAATTTGATGACAATTTATGTTTGCTTAATTCCACATTGTTAGTTGATAACACAATGGTTTGACAAAAATATGGAAACTCCTTATGAAAAACGCATGCCTGACATGAAATGTTTATTCTAGCAAAAGTTGTGCTGGTAGCGCTGATGTTGTTTGCTCATTGACGCAACCTGTACAACATCTTCAATACGTTGGAAGTGCCATTCATTATCGAGATGTTCTGTGTAGTTTTGAATGCATCACGTTGGAGCTAAATGAATCCAAACTTAGGTAAATTGTTTGGGCTTGCATGGTGAGTGCTCCTGTAATCAAGGTAGCTAAAGTGTTTGATGTTTCAAGGGGCACAATATCTAAGATTTTTAACTCATACCGGAAAACCAGAAAAATCGCATCCGCTAAATCACAGCGAGGATGAAGTGTGTTGAGTGATCATGACAGATGATCATTGAAGAGGACTGTGATAAAAACTAAGAAGACTATAGCCGCAAAAGTGACTGCTGAACTGAATGTTGCACTCGCAAACCCTGTCAGCACCAAAACGAAAGGGTACTTTTGGCTGAACTGCAATTAAAAAGTCGCTTATGAGTGATTAAAATGCCTATAAGCGGAGAAAATGGCGAAAAAATCATAAAATGTGTACTATGGAGCAATGGAAGGCAGCCATTTGGTCAGATGAGTCTTGCTTTACACTATTTTCGACTTTTGGGCAAGTTTACGGCTGGTGCATGGCATGTTATCCCAAGCGTATGATAGAGATTGTTTGCTACTAAAGGTGAAACATGACGGGGGTTCGGTCGTTATTTGAGCAGTCATATTGCGGTATTCTATGGGACCCATCATAACTGTGCATAAAGTGCCCGGCTATTAAATAAAATCATCACTGTGCAAGGTCACATTACTGGCAAGGATTATGTGACGATTTTGGCTAATCACATCCAACCCATCGCACAAATTTTGTTCCTCATTGGTGATGCCGTGTACCAAGACGACAGACCTCCTGTTTATTCTACTCGCATCGTGCAGAACTATTTTTCTGAGCACGAAGGTGAAATTTCATACTTACCATGGCCACCACCGTCATCAGATAATAATGTTATTGAGCTTTTGTACCATTTTGGAGAGAAATCGGCGTGAGCGCTATCTACTGCCATTCTCGTTAACTGAACTTGCCAACATCTTACAGAAAGAATGGTACAAGATTCCCTGGCAAACCTTAAGGACATTTATTTTTCCATTCAGAGAAAACTGCAAGTTGTTTTGAATGCTAACGAGTTTCTTGCACCGTATTAGTTACAGCAACATGTTTTTTATTTCGGCGATTCCATATTTCCAAGCCTTGCATTTATGTGTAACATAATTAATGTAATCAATTTATCTTCATTCGATGTAGTAACTTAGGCTTTGAGTTTGCATCTTAAGTTCATCTCAAAATTATCTCTTTTATTTATGCAGTGCGGTTTTACAGTTTAAACGGTAAAATCTTTTTTCTTGAAGTAACTAACAGTTGGCAAAGTAAATCTTTTATTTTCCATTGCTATTCTGCTTCAACATGATCGAATGAATTTCATAGATATTTTTTTTTTTTTTTTTTTTTGCAAAAAGGCATTGTATGTATATTTAATCACTTTTGTATATTTAATCATTTTACTTTGGCATCTAAAGACTTTACCTGTTATACTTTCATTCTTCCCCTCTAAATACAAAGACCTTTTGGTACTTTTTATTGATCCCAATTGTGCCCAGAAATTTTAAAATCTGAAGCTTTATGAAGTATTGAAAGCGGCAAAACTCGAGCAAACGTGGAATTGACCAAGAGGTAAAACCATTAGAAGTTTGACTTTGGTTAAAATCTGAGCGAACGGGCAGCTTCCAAGGAAGTTTTTCCCGTGCATAAATGAGAACATGAGCTATTTTCCCTAAAACTTTTTACACAATAGCATTCAACCTCTTAGGTAACCTCAAAGTATGTAAGGGTTATCTTAGTCACATAACCCTTACATACTTTTGACTGGATTATTTAGGTTACGATTATTCTAAAGAATCCAGTCAAAAGTATTTAAAATAAATTACGCTGAGAAGTCAAGGAAGATATGGCAAAAATGCTCATATGAAAGACAGTAATACTTCGAAACTCGGGTTTAAAAAAAGCTTGATATTAATAGGATATAACTAGCTGAAGCTTAATCCCATTCCAAAAATATCTACTATACTTGCATTTCAATCTAAAATTGTACTACAAGTAATTGATTTGAACGCCAGTATTACTGAGGGATTGATTTGAAAATCCATTTGATTAATTTCAATATTTAAATTGTTTTGCAGGATCCATTCGTCTTCCATGTTTTGAAGAGAAGCTTTCAAGTTGGGATGCCCGCGTGGGACATGCAAGCCATGGACTTCTTGCCCATGTGTTCGAGCATGCTGCTGGAGAGATGTACCTTGCAGAAGCTGAACAGTTCTGATGATGACAGCGTGGACAGTGGTTCTTTACCGTGGGTGGATGAGACGACATTTGAAGAGTTGGATGCCTACCTTCATGAGAATCCTCCAGGCTGGAGTCCAAGATGCGAATGCGAAGACAGCAGGCTGTCCTTGTGCTCTTTCTGTCTCTCCAATTCCACAGACGGCTTCTTTTCACTTCCTGCTGATGATGCTAATAGGTGAGAACGCGTTTAGTTTCCCCCCCCCCCCTTAGTAACCATCTACTGGACAACATTTGGTGAAAGTAATTCCGCTTTTAACGGAAATAAACAGTTTTGCCTCAAAATTAATACGTGTAAAGGAATTGCCATTCAAGGTTTTTAAGTTACATCTGAGCCTTTTATGCTGTGAGTTATAAATATTAATACATGTCATTTCAAATTAGTGATAAAGAAAGTGCTTAACTAAAGGTATGCAAGATAGATTTGTAACGCATTTTTATTGCATTTTAAACTGCATAATTCATGTCATTTTATAAATGTACTTAACCCTTTAAGGAATGGTAACTTTAATAAATGATTTAATATAACTCTATTTGCATGCTGGATATCGTCAATAAGTGATTAGTTCATTTAATAAAACTTTATTGTAATTCAGTTGTTGTCCGTAAGTGAACTAGCACTGAAAGGATGTATATGTAACAACTAAATAATTAGTTTTTCTGATTTATTTTAAACAGATATGGCATCTGTAGGTAAGTCTATCCATATACTGATTTTCAGTTATGCTTTATAAATATTTCAGTGATGGGAAATTATGGGAATTTTTAATCATCATTTAGATTCCAGACATTTTTATTAACACTAAATAAATATATTTTAACATCATGAAGCAGTCGTTTAAAGAAATAAAATACTTAACGAAGCTTAATAAATTTAATGCAGTCTTAAAAAATATTTTTAATTGAAAGAATACTTATTTTAAAAGTATTATACAAAGCAATGCTTTTTAAAACCGCTAATGCTTTAGAATTGTATGCTATTTATCTCGGCAAAATATATAAATAATATAAAGTGCTGGACATGCTTGAATTTTTCTCCCGTATTATTTAGCTTCTCATAATTTTCATCTCAAAAGATAAAACTTTTTAAATATGTGCCGAGTTTGCCAATTATTTTTGATTCCTGAAGTGTGTCATGATAAAACGTTCTTTAATTTTACACAATTTTTCAATCCTTATCTCCTTTAAAACAAACAGACGTGGAACATGAAAAATACATTAATTCAGAATATTGGTTAAAACTAAGTAAGTTTGAGATAAAATAAGCAGCACATTTTTTATAAAAATAATTACAGAATTAAAAAAAAATATGGGAAAGTTTTCGATGGATACCTAGTAGTTAAGACCGTTGAATACTAGCAGTATGACCCGAGACCGAACTCGGGCGAACGAGAGCCGTATGCTTGGTTTTCGTAATTTCCCCCATGTGGAACATGAACAAGAGTCGATATATCTTTGAAAGTCCTCCACGAAGCCCTTCCTCCCTCTAGGCTTGGTGTATACAAAGCACTCAAGAGCTATCTGCCTATGCCTAGATGTAGTGCTTTCTAAGGGAAACGCTCATATACAAGTTACACATTGGGAAAACCATGAAACCGCCCTTTCACCGGGATTCGAATCCTGAGCCAAACTACCAGTGTTTAGAGACATTATCGCTGGTGGGCTTCCTCCCTCTAGACACATAGCCCTCGTGTGTTTTGCCATATTCGAATGATCTAACCAACCAAATCGTGTGCATTCGATGTTGTAAGATTAAGAAACATCCATCTAAAACATGCGTACTAAGTATTTCAAAGAGACGTGTTTGCTAATAATTGAAGCGAAACTAATAGACATGCTAAAAAAAACTAGAATATATTTGACACCTGATTTAAATTTTCGTTAAATTAGATACTGCGAAAATTTCATTAAGTAAATTTTAACAGCCTCTGTAAGCCGCCTAATTGTATGTGCCTCAGAAGTTTTCGGATATTAATTTTTTAGTTTGATGTAACAAGTGAAGTCTCTCTGCTTTATCATGGTAGATCGTAAGTTTTGTATTTCTTTCCCGTCGCTTCGTGTCTTATACCTTTGTGAAGAACAAATTCACCTCATCGGAATATAAGTCAAGGCAAACTATATCGGTGAATTCTTAGTGAATTTATTTGGATCTGACGATTGAATAATCTTCATTCTTTCAAAAAATGATATTTTTTTTTCTGTTGTTGTTCTGGAAATATATTTTTTTTTGAATTTGTAAACAATTTTCATTTTGTTTAAAATAGAAGGTTCATATTATTTCCATGAGATAGTTTTAATCGAAGAAATGAAAACAGAAAAAATGGCATATTGTTCTAACACATGTCTTTAAAATATACTCTAACTGATAACATAATACACTATCTAAATTTATCTGGAATTTTAGAACATGTTTCATTTTATTCTTGCTTCGCATTCGTCGAATGAAGATATTTATTTCAAGGGGATAGCATAGATATTTGAAAAATTCTTATCGTTCTGGAACAAATTAGTTTCAATTCAGTGCTATTCATTCAACTGTCAAGCGTATGACACTTAACTTGTTTAGCTGCCATTATCCTGTTTTCGCCCAGTTCACTACGTATGTTCGGAGGTTTTAGGACTCTTAGAGCAATCTGTCTTCTAGATCTATATTTTAAATTTCTCGTAAGTGCTAAAGTATCATTCTATTCTTGAATGATATAAATCATTTGAAATTTGCATATCAGAGGAAGATGTTTCCTCAGTTTTGTATCTTTTAACATATACAGTGTTTACTTTTCTGAGAAGATCAAACATGGAAGTTTGGTTTCAAGCAGACGTTAGATGCAGTCCTCAGATCTCAAGTGTACATCCCAATCATCTAAGTTTATACATCCTTTTAAGTTTGCTTCTATAATTTGAAGCAGCTGCCGTTTATGGGCTGTTATCTACACTGGCATAATTCTCATCGCCCTGGCAGCTGCTGTAGATTGTGCTGTGTAGGATTTTTTTTGTATTATTTTATTAATTACTTCACGACCATCAACAACGATAAACGAAAGTAGAAATTATTTTGAAAGATGAAGATATTGGTTATTTGATATTCCCCACGATTTTGAAGATAGTTGGTTATCGTGGGATAAAAATTATGCATATGTGCAAGTCACCACCAAGTCAGCAGTCGTACCATCAATAAATGACTTTCAACAGAAAAGCCTGCCTATTGGAACTATCAATCACTGCTGCGCCTAGCTAGGGTTAGGCCCAGCAGATCAGCGACGTTTATTTAAAACCTCAAAGAAAATGCTCTTACAATCTGATAACATTAAATTCTGATAATATTAATACTCTGAAATTATTAAAAATTACAAAGTAAGTTTATGCTACTGAAATAACAATACCAGCACTCCTTTCCCCCCAAATCACTGGGGCGAAAACTTAGATTTTCGCTAGGTCGGGCTAATTTTTTTCTAAAAGAATTAACCCTGCTAGTGGACGAATGAGTTAAGATCACTGAATACTGGTAGTTCAACCTGGCTCGAGGTCAGGATAACGGGTTGAAGGCATGGTTGGTTTTTCTTAATTTTCTCCATGTGAGGTAAATGCAAGCCATTTTCCCTTAGAAATTCCACCCTGATGGCATCTTTCCTGTTAGACAAATAGCCATGTGCTCTGCCGTATTCAAATACCCTAACATAACTTAAATGAGTTAAGTTCAAAGTTATGTTGAATTAAATAAAATGAGATGCGTCTATTACACAAGAAGTGTTTTCCTTCTTATTTAGTACAGAAAAATAAAGCATTTACGTTCGCCCTTAGATATGGTAAACTTTCTTCAGCCAAAGGCGGTATTTTATTTCTTACATTCCCTAAAGAAGCCTAAATATTCTTGTACTGTCATTCAAATTATTCTAGAGTAAAATAATTCGCTCCCATCTCATAGTATTAATGACTATTCTGACGCTTTTAACGCATCTTACAATTGAAGTTAAAGAAAATATAAAGCGTTCCTTTTTTGCCTATATATACATCACTAGGCAAAGGAATGTGGTGAGTTCTTTTTCTGGGAGAAAAGATATTTTCACGCTCATTTAGAAAGTGAGAGTTGTTTAATATTATTTTTAATAGATCCAGAAAATTATTTCTTCTCTCATTTCCCTAAATGATGGAATGACCATGTATCTTTCCGTGCATGTAAAATTCTATTTTTTATTAATGTAGCTTGATAATTAGTGCTATTTTCCGGAAATTTCTTCAGAAATATTATGACTTTTACTTAATTTAATGCTATCTTTTGTAACTACAATGTAAATTAAAGCACAGAATTTGATAGATAGGCCAAATATAATTCAGGAATACTTAATTAAAAAGTAGAGCGAAAAAACTACAGCAAAGGGATCGTAATCAAGAATGAAATATGTGGATTAAATGACAAAGCATTGATTGAAGATATCTTGAAGAAAAATAAATTATTCCGTCTTCGAAATATGTTGCACTTAGAGAAATCAAACTGACGAAATTTAATTTTGCCTTGTTAAAGAGATAATCACTGGATAAAGGGATATCTAATTCAGCTGCCTTTCGTGTCTTTCCAATAGCATAGAATACGTAGTAGAAAATTTTAAAAACATGTTTGTAAAATATGAAATCTCTTTCAGATATTATTAGCTATGGAATTCCTAGTTCTGTGTTAAGTTTTTCTGAAAAAAATGCATATCTCTGAAATACTCTATTTTCAAGGGAACACGAATATTTTAAGTATCAATGTTGAATGCGATAACAGCTCTACTATTTCTTATTCTGCTGTAATACGGGATGTTTATAAAGTCGCTTACATTTTTGGGAAATACGTTCTAATTCTAATTTCTTTGGAGGCGATCTGAAAGAATGCTGTCGACAGAGAAAAGAATAGCCAATGTTTGTTCCCGTACACGTGGATTAACGTACCCAACAGGTTCAGGAGGACTTCGTCTGCAAATTCAGAAGTCCCTACTAGAGCAGTTATTAAAACCTTGGTAAACAAATTCAAGCAAACTGGTAGTGTTTTAAAGATGAAGACCTTCGATAACGCCACAAGCTAAGCAAAGCGTACAAGAAGCCATTATGCATAGCCCCCAGGCAGCTACACGAAGTCTCAGCTGGAAACTCGGTATTTCGCATACTACTGTTTGGAAAATTCTACGCTGTCATTTAAACAAG